CTGTACTTCGTTCATTGGAACTAAAGATATTTCTCAATAACTAGTTCCTTCTGTTACCCTTTGTGTGGAACGTAATGCGGTGTGACAGGCTAGTGCTTTATAAATTTTCCTGTCTGACACGAAAAAACGAGAGGATCGCTTACCTACTAAGTAGAGAGGCGAAGTCCCTCCTTTCGGGGGACTCCATGGGACCTTTTTCGGAAAAATTATGTATTGAAGTCATCGGAAGAACGATTATCTTTCGTTCCCGTTTGATTGTGCCACCAATTCAAATGTTTGTTCATTGATTTGCATACTTTTTTCCGAAGGTAAGTTTCCATGGGTCGGAAATAGATGGGCGGGACTTGGCCTCTCTATGCTAGGTTAAAATGGCAGGCTTCACAAAACATAGTTAAATGTTGTGACTATCTAACACGAAATGTCGTCATCGAGGACTGGGTTGGAATAAAACATGTTTTTATTCTTGTCTTTCTTCCTGGTTCCTCTTACTACTTTGTGTACCTTTGTTTTTCCATCTTTGTATATAGAGTACACTCATTGATTGAATACATACATGCATTTGGCCAAACCGTAGCAGCTCTAAAGAACTTAAAGTTCCACATCTCTAGATTCAGTCCGAAGTTTCCCTCTGTGTTTTCAACAGGACTTTGATGCTGAATGTGGATCGTCTTCCCTATCAGGCAAAGGAGACCAGACGTCACAATGGAGTGGAGTTCCCACTGAAATGGGCATTTCCCACCCTTGTCCTTCTGTTTTGTCATCTAGTTCTGATGGTTGGGCCTAGCCCTGCTTTATTCATAGAGGTGTTGAGGGTCCGAGTGGTCTCAGGATCACCAGTCTTTGCAAAGGCGAAGTTATGCGGGGGAGCGAAAGAGTCCTCAGAAACGACGCCTCATATTTCACGTGTCAGACTCAGGATGGAAGATCAGGGACTATTATGTGTGTAAAGTGTTATTGAACATGGGAGTAACAATGGGAGATGCTGGCTCAAGTCACTGGTAAGTTGGATTTAGTAAAAGTAATGTGTTGCCAAAGAGGGGGTGCAGTGATGCTTTTTTTTTTGTAGGCTGACCCAGAATTAGCATCGAGTATTCCCTCAACCAAAGCAATGCGGTTTTTTCAAATAATTATTGGATTATTTCAGAAAATATATCTGTGTCAAACAACCGTTTATGATACTTTTCACGTGGTTTTTCCTGCGAATTATTCCACCTATTAACACATTTATGATTTTTTAAGGAAAACTTAGGGCTAATGTTGGGATATAAAGGAACTACAGCACGGTCACATGACTTCACGTCACCTCCGCTAAGCTAAAGGTGGCTAATGTTGGGATATAAAGGAACTACAGCACGGTCACATGACTTCACGTCACCACCGCTAAGCTAAAGGTGGCTAATGTTGGGCTATAAAGGAACTACAGCACGGTCACATGACTTCACGTCACCACCGCTAAGCTAAAGGCGGCTAATGTTGGGCGTGATGACGTTTAGTCGTCTCATTTAGACACTTGTTACCAACCGCCTTTTTTTTATTCCCCAGTGGGGTATCTACTGACAGATTTTATGCCCCTTTTTAAGGCTTCTAACAAAAACACATTAAAAAAAACGTTGACTTCGAGACGAGGGAACAGGAAGTGCTAAAATGATGACTCCTATCAGGGTTTCAGGACTCATTCCTGCATCGTTTTTATGCCTAAATTTGTCAGATTTGTTTCCTTACTTCTCAGGCCTCATGTCCGTCTGCGGCTCGATCACTTTGTCCACAAACTTCCCAAACCCAATGGTGAAGTTATCCGACAGAGTATGAACCGACTTAGCTACAGAAGGAAAACACCATCAGTATTACAGTTTCTCCCTCATCAAAACACGTTTACACAGGTGGGAAAAGTATTCAGATTCTTAATAACACACTGTAAAAATACTACATTTCAAGTTTAAGTACAGTATCGAGAATGGTACTTACAAGTATTGAAGTACGATTTGGAAAATGTATGTAAAGCATTCAGAGTAAAAGTACTCAATCGTCACATTTAATAAGCTCAAACTCCAATTAATAAATCAACTTTCTGTTAACCCACTCGTGGTTTGAGCTTCTTAAATATAATGTTGATTATATAATATACAACATTTATATAATGTGTGAACATCTGAATGTATGAAGTAAGTAGTAAATAAATCTGAGTAAGAAGTACAACATTGGCTTCCAAAATGTAGTAGAGAAAACATATATATTAGTATAAAATGAAAATACATGTACCTCAAAAGTATACTTCAGCAGAGTACTTGATTAAATGTACTTTCCATCACCAACATGCTCACCCAGCTCTTCGCCCATGCTCTTCAAGCTGTTCAAATCGTCCGCCATGGAGTTGGAGAAGTCCATGAGGATGTAGAGATCCAGAGGACCTTTCGTCGGAGCGAACACCTCCACGTCCACCGTCTTCTCCTCTCCGGGAAGAAAGCTCATGGTCATCATCTGAGGAGAGACCTGAGACTGAGAGAGCGCCATGTTGATCTTCTGGTTCTGAGGAGAGACAAAGGGAACCGTCAGGATTCATATATTATTATTATTGATAATGTTCTATAATAACGTGCACTTATGTATCTGCTACTACGTTTTGTTGCACTACTCAGTTTAGGAACTGGGGTAGTAACTATAGTAACACAGTGTAGGCGGAGCCGTGACGTCATCTTCAATGAGAAACACGAAACCAACATCAGCCGTTAGCAGCTCCAGAAACTAGACAAAAGTTAAACACAAACCACAGACTGTCTGTGTCATGGCGAATACAGTCGCTGGTTTATTTATGTCTGTAGGCCGTTGTTGTGAGTGTGGACGGTCGGAGCATATACTGCGTTAGCTTAGCCGATCTCCATTCAGAAAACACGCATTGTAAAAGGTGTTTCGCCTGCCGTCTGTCTGCAGACATGTCAAAGCCTTAATTCATGGTTTTTACTATCCGGTATCAGTATGTTGTTGCTTCGGCATCATTTTGAAACGTGTATTACAATTAAATCACGGTCAAATATGTTCATGTTGTTGTAGTTGTAGCCACTCACGTCACTAGTTTAGCATATTCAGCCCGGTTGTTGGCCCGGAAAGAATCACAATTTTGGAGGGCCAGAAAAAATTTGAAAAAGTACCCGCTAGCCGGAACTACCTCTAGTGGAAACGCATCAAAAAACGGGCCGGGTTTGGCACGGCACGCTTAAACCGTGCTACGCGCTGCAGTGGAAATGCAAAAGTAGGCCTGGTCCTAAAAGTCCTGCAACAACCACTATTCTTGATTGGGACAGTCATTTCTCCGTTACACTTATGATTCTTTTTTTGCATTTTCATCTGAGGCATACACAATTAATAAGATGCCCTGTTCACTCACATAAATAAAGGTCAAAAGTTCAGCTGAAGCTCATATGCAGAAAACGGCAATTCGGGTTCAATTTATTTCCAACATTTTGCTGTGACAGACCATTACACATGTTTAGGACCTGTTCAGATTTTCCACCATGTGTTTGTGTGCAAGTAAATGTTGTGCAACAAACAAGAAGCCTGCACTTGAGTTGCTATATTTGCCCATGGAAGCACACATGCCTGAAAATGTACTGTAAAGTCATGCAAATACATGCAAACACGCAGCCTCACAGGATCTGAGTAACTATTGGCCATTAAATCCCCCCTGTCACAACACATTAGCCCGCCACGGCCCTTTGGTCAGGATGATTGCGGCTTATGTCAAGCTTGTTAGTGTTTAGTGCTGTTAACTAGAGAGGGACTTGATATACGGCTACGGCTCTTTGTGGAGCATTCTCTGGATTTATCGTGAAGGAAACACGTGAAAGGAGTGTTCTCTAAAGGTTGTTGGGCTTGTTTCTTGTTGTTTCTAAGTAGAGCGTTTGTGTTTAGACTTTAGATTCAGAGACTGACTTGTTTTTTAATGGTGTGTGTTTTGTTGTTGTGTGTTTTGTTTTTGTTATATTTTGCTAACTCACTCCGTTCTTCTCTCTTCCTAGGCTGTGACAGGAAGATGTTTTGGTGACAAGGACTTCAGAGGCGGTTTGGAGAATGGGATACTGCTGTGCGAGTAAGTTCTCACTATCTTATTTGTTTTTATCTGACTGTCTTTAGCAATTAGGCTTCTCTACTAGCTGTCTCCTTTGCTTTTATCTTCGGTAATCCTATTCTGGAAAATTAGTTTTTTACACTTTCTGAGCGACGTATCGGCTCTTCTCAAAGACTTTCTTTGTTTGTATTTACTTTTCATGGGTTAGAGATGATTGATTGTGTTCAATGGTGAATTGAAATGGGTGACACCTTCATTAAAGCTCCAGTCTTGAGAGTATGAGTGCAAAGGTCATTATGACAATGCTCTCTAGCGGGTCAAGTCACTGGCATTCTTAAATATATCTTTAAACTAAGTTAATAGTTATATCATTTGTATAGGATTGGGCTCTGCCTTTCTCTGCATTGGTAGGAAAAAAGCCCTAATAGTTAATAAAATACAATATCTACGCATAACCAAATGCCCTCACTTGTTTCACTATGGTCCAGTGATCAGAGAGCCTGATGCCCCTTTACAGACACAGTGAACTCTTTTCTGCTCTCTCATTATAAGGCGAGGTGCTAAAATGAGACTGAAAACACACACAGACACTTCCTCCACATTCCTATCTGACAAGTTCAGTTACACAACACTGATGTCTACACCCTGTTTGTTGTGAATACAGACGTCGTATCCAATTTAAAAGTTTCCCCACTGGTTTTGGAATTTCTGGAACAAAGTCTTCACTTCTAGTGATTCACACATTATAAAATGATAACAGAATCTATCTCATGCAGATAATGAATGAATCGCTTTGTTTAGAACATGAATTGGCATTTTTCTTGATAACTAATGAATCATTATTATTATTATTACTTTGTTGTTTCCAGTCTTCCAATTTAAGATCTGCTGTTTGCTTCTGTTTGATATGATTGCAAATGCAGTATCTTTGGGTTTTATACTGTTGTTATTTAAAGTGGACCTATCATGCTATATTGGAAAAATATATTGTAGAGCCATACCATTACAAAACATGTCTGTGAAGTTTTTTGCTTAAAATACCAAACAGATCAGCCATTGTAGCCATGCCTCATACTGCTTAAACCCCTCTTTTGCAGCCCTATTAGAGAAACACGGATTTTGGTCCTTAGCTTTAAAAAAAAAAAAAAAAAAAAGAGGAGGCGGAGCTAATGCCTGATCAGAATTCTTCCGGAGATAAAGTTAAATTCTGCTGTGATAAAACGCCATCCTGTTCTAAACCACATCAAGGATTATTTCTGAAACAGTATGGAGCTCAAATGCTTTTTCTCTTGCGGGTTTATCACAAGGTGAGTTCCTTTTTTTATTTCCTGCTTTTTAAACACATGTGCTCTCCAGTACAGGTTAGCTCTGAGTGTTAGCGAGCTTGCTAATGTAAACAAAGACGAGATTACGTCCAAAACACGTCAGGCATTGTTTCTGATAGCAACTTTCTGTGGGTCCGCCGCCGATTTGACTTCATGTCGGCAGCAAATCTGTATCCGCTCGTTGTTCACCCGTTTTTAAAAGATTTGGGTACGGAGGAAAAGAGAGAGGGTTTTGTTTTCTGACGCTGCGTGAGTTCCCCGACGCACCGGGGACACATATTTATGTATAAAAGACATCACAAAGTGCATTTTGCATGATAGGTCCCCTTTAAGCAGGGCAGGGTGCAAAACATTTAAACACTAAATAATGTTTTCCATACAAGTCATAGTGTGCAGTTTGCCAAATATATGTATATGTGTTGAAGTGTTGCAATACGCAAGAAATGAGCGCATTTG